TCTATATCTATATCTATATTTATATACACACACATACGGTACAAAACAAGACCCGGGTCTCAGATCATGCGGCCGGACCCTGAGCAGAAGCCCACGGAGATCGCTCGGCCGGTTGAGGACAAAATCCATCCGCTTTTGTTTTTTTTTTCTTGTCGGGTTTAGGTGTCGTTGAGGGGGGTTTATAGGTTCTTTTCTAGGGTTTTTTTTTCAGGGTTGCGGGTTTAGGGTGTTAGACTTTAGAGTTTTAGCGTTTAGGGTTTAAGTTTCAGAGGTTTAGGGTTTAGGATGTTTTCTGGCTTTAGGGTTTGGGGTTGCTATGAGGGATGTTGAAAGGGTTATGATAAGGGTTACTGAGTTACTTTAAGGGCTACTACGAGGGTTAGAGAAGGATTTAGGGAGGAGTGGGGATTGGTGGATTGGGTCGAACGTTTTTTTTTGGGGGTTAAGTAAGGTTGAGGGTTTGGAGGCTTAAGGGTGTAGGGGTTGAGGATAGTGGCTTGTTTGTTGGCTCAGGCACCCCTCAACCCTAAACTCTAAACCCCAAACCCCAAACCCTAAACCCTACAACCTAAACCCTAAAAGGATAGCGAGGAGGTCCGCCTCGAGCTGGGCCGCTTCGTCGCCTCACTCCTCCAGCGGCCGGGCGCTTGGGCACTTTGAAGGGTGGTATGCTAGATCGGGTTTAGGGTTTAGGGTTTAGGGTTTAGGGGCTTAGGGTTTAGGGGCTTAGGGTTGGGGGTTTAGGGTTTAGGGGCTTAGGGTTTGGGGTTTAGGGTTTAGGGTTTAGGGTATAACAGACGAGAATATGCCGTAATAGACGAAAGTAGGTTAACATATACCATCCTATAGGTGGGCTTCCAGGCCCACGACGAGAGTCTCCTGCTTTGGGTGCTGGCTGTGTTGCAGACATGCTCGCCTCGGGGATGATGGACAAAGGTGCAGCCCGATCCAGATCTACTCCTATATCGATGAGGCTCGGAGCTTCGGGATGTCGCTGCGAGGCTCTTAGCTGGCACAGCTCACACAGGTCCCCAGTTGCTGATCTTTTTTCAGACCCGTGGTATGACAGGGCCTTCACCCTCGCGCCAAGTTGTCACGGTCAGGCGACAGGTCTCATCCGTGCGCAAGCGATGGATCCTTTCCATGGGGTCAAGGCCGGCACTGGAAGCTTCAGGCTCTACCAAAGGCGAAGTTGCGACGGCAGAATATCTTCTTCGCCCCGAGACTCTGAGGTCTGCGGCATCTACAGGTAGTGATCGGCGTGCCTCAACCCATCCTTGCATCCAAGTCCTTCGGTCAGAACCGGCAGGCCCTGGCTTGCGACACCATGGTGACGTTCTGCAGCTTGACGAGCAGCGAGAACTGGCAAAAGCGGACGGTTCCCGCGGTCTGTAGACACGGATAAACACGGCTGAATGTAGCATGGACGCGAGAGCGTTACAGTGTAGACTTTATGCAACACACCTGAGACCACACCTGCGGACCTAGCTGTTGCCATCGTGCCGGATCTGCAGGCTACAACAACAGAGAGATGTTACTGCACTTTGCGCTGCCGCTGGCCCGCTCACTGACGTGCCCAGATTGAGAAAGACTTCCATGTTTGGCGGAAGTGAGGGTTTCGGCAATGGCGGTTTCTGTGATTCCTGTCCCGTCTTTGGTCGATTTGAGTACATGGTTGTTGGGTCAGGACGGCCTGCCAGCTTGCACCACTTAAAACGTCTGTGTAGCTTAGCCAAGTGATGCCAGCTGCAACGCCATGAGTGCTGAAGATGATGCTACAATCAAAGGCGAGCATTGACGACACCATACGCGGTAAGAGCTGTGAGGGTAGGGGCAGCGGTGTTGGTGGTAGTGGCGGTGCTCGTTCACGTGGCGAGTCTTGCGCTGCTATGGCTTCGGCTGGGTTGCCTAGAAAACGCCGCCAAACCGAAGAAGCTCTCGCAAAGGTCCTGCCTCACCCACAACCATGCCAAGCTGCGGATCGCTGGCCTGCGTGCTATCACCGCTTGCCTCTTCTGTGGGGTCGGGCTCTCAGGCTCGCGTGGCACAGCCTGTGGCGAAGCCTGCTGAGAGTATCCGCACCGAAAAGAAAAGCGCGGGGTTCGTCGAATTGAGAACCTTGTGCAGTTCTTGAGGTGTGGAAGCACAACTTCGAGATTTTCGAGGTGCTCATGGCATGGCAGGACCCAAACAAGGCACGGGTTGCGGGGTTTAGGGTTTAAGTTTGTAGCACGGGCTTGATTTTTGTGGGTTTAGGGACCGAAATGCAGTGCGAAGCCAGCCTCCACCCTTGAGCACTGGGACAGGTTCCGATCAAGGCGTTCTACGAGGGCGTAACGAATGCATCTCGTCTCTCTGAGAGGCTCGTGGCTATTGGGAACCATTGCGAAGTGATGTTCGGGGGGTCCAAGGGAAGAGCGGTTCAAGATCCTCAACACAGTAACACGAGGAGCCTGCTCAACCTATGCCTAAGGTCAACTACATGTCCACCTTGAGCTTCGATCGGCACCCGGCGGTGCGCCGGTTTTGGTTCGAAACACTCGCGTACTGGATGATACGATGTGTGGACAAGGCCTGTCTTGAGCTTTTGGTCTTCTTGCACACCGTTTTCAGACTCAGAAATGCAGTGGGAGACTAAACCGTAGACCTTAAACCCCCAAACCTTAAACTTTTAAGAGCAAGCCCAAACTCCTTCACAGGTGGATCTGGAGCCGTACATAGCTCCTTACCTGCTGACAGGCCTGTGCGACGAGAATGAGGACCTGACCCAAAACCCTAAACCCGAAGCTCCAAACCCTGAGCCCTAAGCCCTCAGCCTCCTAAACCCTAAACCCTAAACCCTATATACCCTAAACTCCGAAGGAGATCGCCTTGGAGGTCTTCTGGCTCATCGAGCGCATCGGTGAGGCTTACGAGGAGGAGCACGAGGAGGACCTGGATCCGCAGAAGCCTCAGGGCTGTTTAGGGCCTAAGGGCTCGGTCTCCGTTCGGTCAGTGCGGCAAACAGCAAAGCTACAAAGTTTTTTTTTTAAGGGTTTAGGGTTTAGGATGATTTCTGGGTTTAGGTTTAGGGGTTTGGGGTTGGGTTTGGGGGTTTTGGGGCTCAGGATCTTCAAGGTTTAGGTTTATGATGTTTATTATATACCCGAAACTCTCCTGTTGTTCCCACGAAAGGCCTCTGCTACTTTCTTGAGGGTTTAGGAATGCTTTCGGTTTTGGGCTCAGGGGCGAAGACTTAACCCTGATGTCGACAGTTGAGGAAAGTCGCATCATCCACACAGCACGGAGCTCTGTGCTCGAAACGCCACTACCCGAAGGTTGATCTCTGGGTTCAGGGTTTGTGCTGTCCCCTAAACCCTAAACCCTAAACCCATGGCTTGCATTACACTTTAAAAAACAAATCCATGGCTAGACCGGTACCCTTGGAAGCACTCTGCTACAGCAGCATCTGGAAGGGGCAGCAGGGCTGTCAAAGTGTCTAGCCATGCACAAAGGCTGCCCTGACAGGACCTGCGGAAAACGAAGCAGTATGGCGACTTGTTTGATTCCGTCAGATGCACGACTTGGAGGTAAGGCGCTTTTCGTCCCACTCGTGGAGTTGTTGAGGCTGATGCCCCCTAAACCCGTTAACCCTAAACCCCAAACCCTAAACCCCTAAACCCCTAAACCCTAACCCCTAAACCCCTAAACCCTAAACCCTAAACCCTAAACCCTAAACCATGGAGACGCTGCCTCGTGATGTTCTTTGCCACGAGGTCATCCAGATCGCAGTTGAGGTGATCTGCCAGGAGATCTGCTCCAATCCACCTGAGGCTTAGGGTTTAGGGTTTAGGGTTTAGGGTTTAGGGTTCAGGGTTCAGGGTTTAGGGTTTAGGGGGCACCAGATATGCCGCTACGGTGTTCAGGGTCGTGCTGCAGCTGTTGCTGTTGGTGGTCATGCTGTTGCTGTCGTCGTGGCTACGGTCGCAACTGGCTGGTGGTGATATCAAGTCCACCCTACTTTGCTTACCGATCCCTTCATTGTCCCATTTTAGTGCCAGTTGCAAGTCCGAAACTAGTACAATTCCGTGGCTATTTCTGTCCCTTCAGCTCGAATGCTTGAATTGAGACCGGCACTGACAGTGGGAGGGGGGGGGGCGGTGGAAACGAGTGAGCGATTATGTTTGAAACGCGCGCGGTTCTGTTTGAAATGCTAAATGTCGCTGCCTTGCTCGTCGTTACCGTCAGCATCACTGCACACTGCAGCCCAACTCGCCATCGCCGTCGAAATCGTTCTCACTATCACCACAGTCATCATCATCTTCCTCACTGTCGTCATTAGCTCATTAGCGCCCATGCATGATCGAAACGGTTTTCATATGTTGCCACGACGGATGGAGGTCCGTCAGCTTGAACGTTTCACGGTGTTCGGATTTTTGCAGGTCGTGCTGGCTCCAAGGAGTGCGGGAGTTGTATAACCCGGTGTCGCCAAGAGCATGGGTGATCTGCTGTCCTTCAGACTTGCAGGAACGTTCTAACAGCAGTTGATACTTCAACAATGCAGCCCTTCTCTGACATGTGTGTGCCCGGAAGGATCATATGCTTGCCACAGCAGGCAAGGCTAGATAATATCTTGCGAGGGCGAGGCGCAGCCAAGTCAAGGTCATCAAGGCCTGCCGCAATGGAGGCTTCTCAGGCCAGTGTATGTAATGTAGTGCAAAATTCCATACGGCGCTGTTGTACAATGCAGCACAACACAACCCAATGTCATACAGTACAACTCGTACAACATAAGATAAGATAATCTGGCAGTAACTATGTCGCCGATAGGCAGGCTAATGTTGGAATTCGTGGAAGTCATTAAATTAGGGAAACATTGGGAAACAAGAGGAAAATACATGGAAACCGAAATGCAAAATACATGATAACAAAACGGGAGCAGAAAAGGACATCAACAAGGAAAAAAGGGAGATGGCAAGGAAGCCAGCAGCAACACCGAGGCCCAACAAAGACGCTAAAAGACGGGAAACACAAAAGTAACCAACAAAGGAAACAAAGGAACGAAAAGGAAACGCAAGGAGAAGACACAGGAAAAAGCAAAGGACACAATCAGTTTTCAGTCTGGCCCTGCTCCTTTGTGTTACCTTTTTATCTCACACTCTCGTTTTTTGGGGGCAGTCGGTTCCTTTGTGTTTTGCTTTTGTTCCTCATTTTTTAGGATTTCGGGACTTTATCAGGGTGTGAATTAAATAAAAATAACAGGATATTGAGAACAACTGGGAAACTAAGCAAAAAGTGGGACAAACTAGGGAAACAATAGAAACCTAGGTTCCCAAGGCCGCCCAGAAAAGGAAGATAACTCCCCATTGTGTGTGCATTCGTATCCCTTTTTATGTTCCTTGTATTTTCGTTCTTTTGTACCTTTTCAGTTCGCTTTTTCGTTCCCATTATGTGTGCAATGTTTTCCCTTTTTCGTTCCCATCGTTTTCATTCACATTATTTTTGCTTCCTCTTTGCATGGTTGCATTTTTGTCGGATTCATTTTGCATTTCTGTTTGGAATATTTCCGGATTGTTTTCCGAAAACTAATGTTTGGGAACCATCCGCATGTTAGCTTGTGTCGGCGACACAACAGTAGAACATATAGCCTAGTGGCATCGCAACCCAGCACATGGAGGGAGGGCGAGGAGGGGTTGTGCTTTTCACCCGTCCAGAGCTCGGCAGACAAACTCCCCTAAGAAATAAGCTAGATGCTTGCAAGAGTCGGCAACAAAACAGCATGATATAAAAAGCATCCCGGATGGTGGAGATTGAAGCAACTTGAAAACATAGTTCTGGATCGCACCTAAGTATTGAATTGCAGAAAATTTGAGATCCTTTCTGGGTGTGGGAGGGTCGGACTCCTTGTTTCCAGGTCCAGAAAACCTGCATGCCCGCAGACACACACACAGAGAAAAACAAACACCGAGCCGTTTGCGGATGCCTGCGAGCGCCACTTGCCTTTGTGCAGCACTAAGCCAAACCACCAAAACCTTGGTGTGGGATCGGAGGGCATCTTGGAGGTACAGCCTATAGGTTTTGGGTCCCCTTGTCATTTTTAGGGAGAGAGCTTCGTAGCCTTGAAGCCGTAGAATGCCTGAGAACCCTACACCCGTTTTTGAACGAGGTCTCTCTGAAGTACACCCTAAATGCTAAACCCTAAAATCCAACCCTGACAGGAACTGTAAGTCTGTCGCGCAGCCCCCTACGATTTGACCAAAGTTGCTTCAAGGGCCACTACTGGTAGTGCTACTAGGTTATGATAACGGCTCCGACAAGGGTCACCACAAGGGCTCCTATTCGAGCTGCTCTGTCCCTTACCTTTCTTTTGGATTCAGTCATGTCCTTAGGATTTCGGAGATTATCTCTGGAGCGGAGCACTCGTCCTATATCTTCCTCTTGGATTAAGTCATGTCTTAGGAATTCGGAGATGATCTCTGGAGCGGAACACCCTAAACCCTAAACCCTAAACCTTAAACCCTAAGCCCTGAACCCTAAACCCTAAACAGTAAGCCCTAAACCCTAAACAGTAAGCCCTA